GGCTGGCAGTTACACTGGTAGCCATTGACCAGGTCGATGCAGCGACCATCATTCAGGCAAGGGTTGCTGTAACATTCATCAATCTGGTCACTGCAGATGGTGCCCATGTACCCGGGACTGCAGATGCAGGTGTAGGAATCAATACCATCCTGACACTGGCCATGGTGGCAAGGATCGGGGTCACAGTTGTCAATGTTCTCCTCACACAACACACCAGTGAAACCTTTAGAAATAATTTTATCAAGGATTCTCAAAAACCAAGGCAGATTCACCTGAACACAAGTGTAGCTACATCTATTTACTCTACACATTCCATGTGTGATCAATTAATACAGCTGGCCTTGAGCGGTAGAAAATTACTATCTGCATTGATTTAGAAAGCATGCCTGGAGAGTGGATCTTAAAGATTTCCAAATCGAATTTTAGAATTGAAATAGCTTTGCAACTGATCAATAGTTTCACTGCAGAGATGCCTTAACTGCATCTTCATTTCTTATTAGGCTTCAGGCTGTAATACCTCAAAACATTTTTCCTTTATATATTTATCTTTGTATTTCTTTCTTCCCAAGCCCAATATACAGGTTAATGATTTCATGTATCTTATGTTCCCAATTCTGACTTTGAAGGTCAGAGAACTTTATTTTACTTCTCTCAACTCTTCTGAGAGTACTATGCATATATAGTAGTTTTAAATAAATACTGGTTGAATACAATGAATGAACCTGTTATGAACATTTAAAAGAAAAAGAGACAAGCAAGAGTTTCTTTCTTCAAGGCTTAAATAGATGACAAACATTATACCTTTCCTTAAAAGGCTCCAGGAGGCCTCTCCCCACTTTTAAACCTGAGCTAAAGGTTTTTAATCTCTTTGAAACTTATCCTCTACAAGAAGAATCTGGCCAGGGGAAGACAAAATCTGGATTCTCTGACAAGTGGCAACTATTTGCAAAAAGAAAGTGGCTCATCTGAGTTGTCCTAACCTAAGTAGGTCTAATAATTGAAATATTAACTTTCTGTACTAATTTTCACAACTAAACTTGCTTTTCTGTAATCAGAAAGAAATTATATGCATGACGCCTGTAATCTTTAAGACTCCATTCTCTAAAATAATGTCTTGAATTATATAAATAACTTCTTTCTCAAGCAGTCAGATAATAAAGAAGTTCACTTCTAATAATTTCTAGCCTTTCTATATAATACTGGCCTGTGTAAAAGGAAATGTGTAATAGGGAACATCTGGCTTACTGAAATCCAATCCCAAGTGAAAAATGTGATTACAAACCCAGAAATGCAGAATATTTGTGCACAGATCATTTTCAACTCTAGTTGCAGAAGTCCACAAAGAGGACCCAAACTTTCCCAGTTAGAGCTCTCTCTCCTGTCATTTATACACTTGATACTCAATATGATTTGGAGTCTTTTATGCAGAATACCCCTGCACTTGTACACATTCAGCCTTTAAATTTCTGGGCCTCCTTTCAGTCACTTGCTTTATGAAACACAGAGCCAGGACTCCTGCTGAGAAGCTCCAATGAAAATAGCTTTCAACTGGAATTCTTCTCTTTCCTAAATGAGTAAATCTAGCCAGCTGGAAACTTACTGCTGCCAAAATCTGTCCCAGAAAGACATGGATACCAAATGGAAATATCTGGGCCAGACCACTATTGTGGTGGAGGAGGCAGGTACTGCAGAAAAAGAGTGAGAGCAACAAAAACTTTGCTTGAAGCAGCTCTTTCTAAACTCGGAGTAGCCCCTGAGAGTGGACTGGCCTGGTCGAGTGGCTAGCAGAGGACAGGGACAATCACCCTATTTTGTTCAGATAGACCTACCAAGGAGATGAAAAGTGAGAAGAGTCTTACCTGTGGCACACTGGCATTCATAGCCATTCGGGTGATCAATACACTTTGCCCCATTCAGACATGGAGTACTGGAACAGTCATCAATATCAATCTGGCAAACTGGCCCAGTAAAACCTCGAAAAGGGACAGTGATAACATGAGTTGAAGGATTATCTCGCACCTTCCTTCACTATAAGAATGATGTCCAGGGAGGGGTAGTTTCGCTTACTGGCAGGGCTTATGCCAATGGGTCAATAGGCCTATGCTTTATTATTCTCCCCAACAGGTAACTGCAATGACCAGGTGACACTCAGNACTGACCTGTGAAAGAGAAAATACACTAAAAAAAGGGAGGAAGAAAAAAAGAAGGAAGGAAGGGAGGGAGGCAGGGATTTATTAATCTGGGTGGGGTGGAACTTAAATAAAAAAAGATAATTTAGCCACAAATAAGAGTGTTTTCAATTTTAAATCATTTTGATTTTTGAAGTGATGTTCCTCTATTTAACAAAACACACACACACACAAAATCATTCAGATTGGCAAAGCTATTGTCTCCGACCTCTCCACTGACTAGGGCCACCTGCCTTGGGACATTTATGCTTGTGGCTTTGGCTGTGCTTCTCAGAATCAGGACTGTGTTTTAGGTATCTGAGCATATGCCAACAGTCTGAAACATCTTCGTAAATTGATTTGAGAAACAGTGAAAAACTCATACCAAACATAAATGGAGTGGGCTTACCTGACGTGCCTGGCTGGCAATTACACTGGTAGCCATTGGCCAGGTCGATGCAGCGACCATCATTCAGGCAAGGGTTGCTGTAACATTCATCAATCTGGTCACTGCAGATTGTGCCCATGTACCCGGGACTGCAGATGCAGGTGTAGGAATCAATACCATCCTGACACTGGCCATGGTGGCAAGGATCGGGGTCACAGTTGTCAATGTTCTCCTCACACAACACACCAGTGAAAACTTTGGAAGGAATTTTATCAAGGAATCTCAAAAACCAAGGCAGACACTCCACACCTAGACACAAATGTAGCTACACCCACTTACCCTACACATCCCATGTGTGATCAATCAACACTGCCGACCTTGAGCAGTAAAAACTGAGCATCTTCACTGATTTAGAAAGCATGCCTGGAGAGTTATGCTTAAAATAGAGATTTCCAAATCAAATTTTAGAAATGAAATACATTTGTGACTGATCAATGCTTTAACTGCATCTCCATTTCTTATTAAGCTTCAGGTTGTAATAGCACAAAACATTTTTTCTTTACATATTTACGTTCACAACTTGGCTATTGTGAATAGTGCTGCAGTGAACATTGGTATGCACATATCAGTTCAAGATCGTGATTTCAATCCTTTTGGATAAATACTCAGAAGCGATATCACTGGATCATAACGGTAGTTTTTAAAATTTTTTTAATCTTTGAGGAATTTTGATACTGTTTTCCATAGTGGCTATACCTTTTCTCCACAACCTCACTAAAACTTGTTATCTCGGGTTTCTTTTCAGAATAGCTATCTTGAGAGGTGTGAGGTGATTATTTTATTGTTGTTTGATTTGCATTTTCAAGATGATTATTGACATTAAGTATTTTTTTCATACACGTATTGGCTATGTCTTCGAAAAAATCTAATCAAGTGTTTCACTCATTTTTTTAATCAGGTAATTTGGGTCTTATTTTATTGTTCTATTGAGTAAAATTTCCTTTGATATTTTGAAGATGAACTCTTTATCTGGATATGGGGTTTATATAGTTTGCTAATATATGTTTTGCTAACCTTCTCTCCCAATATCTACACTGTATTTTTACTTTGATTGTTTACTTTGCTGGACAGAAGCTTTTTAGTCTGATGTAGTGTCCCATTTGTTTGTTTTTGCTGCATGGACTTTTGCTGTTATTTCCGTGAAATCATTGTCAAAATCAATGTCATAAAGTTTTCCCCTATGTTTTCTTCTAGAATTTTTAACTGTTTTGATTCTTACATTTAGGTTTTTAATCCATTTTTAATTGTTTGTTGTGTATATTGTAAGAGAAGGGTCCAATTTAACTCGTTTGCATGTGGATATCTTCTTCCAAACACAATTTGTTGAAGAGATTATCTTTTCTTCATTGTATATTCTTGACACTCTTGTCAAAGATCAGTTGACTTTATATGCATGGATTTGTTTCTCAGCTATCTCTATTGTATTCCACCAATCTATACATCTGTAATAATGCCGGCACCATATTGTTTGGATTACTGTGCCTTTGTAATATATTTTGAAATCAGGAAGTGTGATGCCTCCAGATTTGTTCTTCTTTGTCAAGATAGCTTTGGCTATTTGTGGTCTTTTGTGATTCCATGTAAATTATAGATTTTTTTTTTTTGTAAAAATAAGTCATCAAGATTTTGATAGGAATTACATTGAATCTTTAGATCACTTTAGGTAGTATGAACATTTTAACAATATTTAGTTTTCCAAAAAATGAACACAAATGTGTTTTCATTTGTGTCTTATTCAACTTCTTTCATTAATGGTTTGTAGTTTTCAGTATACAAGTCTTTCACGTCCTTTGCTAGTTTTATTCCAAGATCTTTTATTCATTTTCCTGCTCTAATGGGTTGTTTCCTAATTTCTTTTTCAGCTAATTTGCTGTTACTATACAAAAATGCAACTGATTTTTTAGGTTGACTTTGTATTCTACAACTTTACTGAATTGTTTATTACTGCTAACAGTTTTAAAATATAATATTTTAGAATTTCCTGTATATAAAATCATGTCGTCTTCAAATAGGGACAAGTTTACTTCTTACTTCCTGATATGTGTGACATTTATTTCTTTTTCTTGACTAATTACTCTGGCGAGGACTTTCAGAATTATGTTACATAGAAATAGCAAAAGTGAGCATTCTTGCCTTTTCCTGATCTCAGAGAAAAAGTTTTTAGATTTTGCCATTGAATATGAAGTTAGCTGTGGGTTTTTCAATTATGGCCTTATTATTTTTAGGCAGTTTCCTTGTATTCCTAGTTTGTTGCCAGTGTTTTATCATGAAAGAGGATAGAATTTTGTCAGTTGCTTTTTCTGAATTTATTGAGATTATCACAAAATTTTTATCCTTTCTTTAGTTGATGTAGTATTTCACATTAATTGATTTTCATATGTTGAACTGTCATGTATCCCAGGGATAAATCCCAGTCGGTCATGATGTATGATTCTTCTTCTTTCTTTTCTTTTTGTCGTTTTTTGACACATAGTCTCACTCTCTCACTCAGGTTGGAATGCAGTGGTGAGATCTCAACTCACTGCAACCTCTGCAGTGAGGTTCAAGCGATTCTCCTGCCTCAGCCTCCTGAGTAGCTGGGATTACAGGCACCTGCCACCACGCTCAGCTAATTTTTGTATTTTTAGTAGAGGTGGTATTTACCATGTTGGCCAGGCTGGTCTCGAACTCCTGATCTCAGGTGATCCACCTGCCTCAGCCTCCCAAAATGTTGGGATTACAGGCATGAGCCACTGTGCCCAGATGTTATATGGTTCCTTTAATGCGCAGTTGGAGTTAGTTTGCTAGCTTTTTTTTTTTGCATATCTTCATCACAGAAACTGGCCTGTAGTTTTCTTTTCTTTTGATATCTTTGTGTGGCTTTGGCATTGGTGATGCTGGCCTTATAAAACGAGTTTGGAAATGTTTCTTTAATTATTTTATAAGTATTTGAGAAAGATTGGTGTTAACTCAAAAAAACAACATTTCATAGAATCCACCAATGAAGTTGTCTGGTTCTGTGGTTCTGGGCTTTTCTTTGTTTGAAAGGTTTTTGATTACATATTTAATCTCTGTAATAGTTGTATGTTTGTTCAGACTTTCTATTTCTTCATGATTTAGTCTTGGTATGTTGTAAGTTTCTGGGAATGTATCAATTTCTTCAGTTTATTGTCGTACAATTGTTCATTGTAGTCTCTTGTGGTACCTTTTATTTTCATGGTAGCAGTTGCAATATCTCTTCTTTTATTTCTGGTTTTATTTGAGTCTTCCCTCCTATTTTTCTTAATTAGTCTAGCTAAGTGTCTGTCAATTTTATTTACCTTTTCAAAAATGAATTCTTTGTTTCATTAAGTTTTTTATTTTCTATTTTGCTTTTTTCCCTGCTCTAACTGTTATCTTTTTCTTCCATTGCTAATTTAGTTTGTTCTTCCTAGTTCTTTGAGGTGTAAAGTTAGGTTGTTGAGATCTTTTTTAATGTACAGATTTATCTCTATGAACTTTACGGTTAGTTCTGCTTTGGCTGCATCCCTTATCTTTTGTGGTATGTTGTGTATTCACTTTCATTTGTCTTTAGATATTTTCAAATTTCCTTTTTCAATTATTCCTTGAGCCAATTGTCATTCAAGAGTATGTTGTTTTCAACCAACCAAAAATTTTTTTAAAAAAGAATATGTTTTTAATTTTTACATATTTGTGAAATTTCTAGTTTTCCTCCTGCTATTGATTTCTAGTTTCATTCAATGATGGGCAGAAAAGATACTTGGTATGATTTCAGTTTTCTTAAATTTGTAGACTCTTTTCGTGGCTGCCATGATCTCAGCGTTTAAGAGCCCTCTTGAATAGATTAGTACCCTTATAAAAGAGGCCCCAGAGAGCTTCCTTTCCCTTTCCACCATCTGAAGTCACAGTGAGAAAGCATTATCTATGAACCAGAGGGCATAGGTGGACTTCTGGACTTTTCAGACTCCAAAATTGTGAGAAGTAAGCTTCTGTTGTTTATATGCTCTCTAGTTTGTGATATTTTGTTATAGTAGTCTGAACAGACAAAGATAGTGATTTAACATGTGATTTATTCTGGAGAATGTTCAATTTGCCCTTGAGAAGGACACGTATTCTGCTATTGGGTGGAATGGTCTGTGTATGTGTGCTAGGTCCATTTGGTCTATAGCGTTACTCCCATCCTCTTTTTCCTATTGATCGTCTGTCTGGATGTTCTGTCCACAGTTGAAAGTGAAGTATTGAAATCTCCTGCTATTGTGGTATTTCTTCTATTTCTCTCTTCAGTGTTGTCAGTGTTTGCTTTATATATCTAGGTTCTTTAATGTTGGGTGTGTACATAGTTATGACTCTTATATCCCACTGGGGGGTTGATATTTTATCATTGTAAAAATGCTTTTTTGTCTCTTGTGACAGCTTTTGACTGAGAGTCTACTTTGTCTGATACAAATATAGTCACTCCTTCTCTCTTTTTGTTACCACTTGCATGCAATTTCCTTTTCCACCCCTTTACTTTTAACCTATGTTGTTTCCTTAAATCTAAAATGACTTTGTCATAGACGGCATAGAGTTGGGTCTTGGTTTTTATTTTCATTAATTTTTTTTGTTTTTTTGAGATGGAGTCTCATTCTGTCACCAAGGCTGGAGCGCAGTGGCATGATCTCGGCTCACTGTAACCTCCACCTCCTGGATTCAAGTGATTCTCCTGCCTCAGCCTCCCGAGTAGCTGAGGCTACAGGTGCCCACCACCACAGTCAGCTAACTTTTGTATTTTTAGTAGAAACAGGATCTTACTGTGTTGACCAGGCTGGTCTCGAACTCCTGACCTGAAGTGATCCACCTGCCTCAGCCTCCCATTGGGGGGGATTTTAACTCATTTATGTTTAAAGTTTTTATTGATAGAAAATAATTTAATGTTGGCATTTTTGAGTTGTTATCTGTTAGTCTTGTCACTCCTTTCCATGTCTTTTCTTCTGTTTCTGTCTTCCTTTGTGTTTTGTTGGGTTGTTTTTCTTTTTTTGGTGTCAATATGCTTTGATTTCTTTCTTTTAATGTAACTTCCATGGGTTTTCTTTTTTTGCGATTACCTTGGGCTTAAATAAAATGTCTCATAACAGTTGAAGCTGACAACTTAAGTTTAATCGTTTACAAAAACTACACTTTCAATTATGCCCCAAATACATACTTTACATCATTATTGTCACAATTTACATCTATTC